GGCTCAATCAGTTAAGCGTCCAACTTCAGCTCAGGTCAAGATCTCCCAATTTGGGAGTTCGAGCCCAGAATTGGGCTCTGTGCTGATGGCTCAGAGCCTGGAGCCTGCTTCCGATTCTGTGTCTCCCTGTCTCTCTGCCCCTTCTCCACCCCCCACTCTCAAAAATAAATAAATATTAATTTTTTTTTAAATGTGCTTTATAAGAATATATATACACATATAAAATGGCATTCCATGTGATTTTTAAAATTATGTTTAAAGTCTTACCATTTCTGATGTCATTCCTCTTTTGTAAGTTTATAAACTTTCTTTTTAAAGTTATATATCTATTACTATTTTTCTGCATTGTTGTGATCCTTATCACTTAAATCTGGATGATGTGCATGTTTATATAATCGTAAATTTTGCCATGTGCAGATCTTTATATTTGCAGAAATGTTCAATTCTTGCAAATGATTATAAGATGATTTCACGGGAGAAAATATGAGTTTCAGGCCCATTTGCCAATTTTCTGCCTGGATTGTTGCTTTTCTATAGCTGAATCAAAACCTTCAAGGGGCGCCTGGGTGGCGCAGTCCGTTAAGCGTCCGACTTCAGCCAGGTCACGATCTCGCGGTCCGTGAGTTCGAGCCCCGCGTCAGGCTCTGGGCTGATGGCTCAGAGCCTGGAGCCTGTTTCCGATTCTGTGTCTCCCTCTCTCTCTGCCCCTCCCCCGTTCATGCTCTGTCTCTCTCTGTCCCAAAAATAAATAAACGTTTGAAAAAAAAAAATTAAAAAAAAAAAAAAAAACCTTCAAGGAATATAGTGTATAGAAGACACAATGATTTAACCTTAACTGTACTGTTTCATTCTTTATCCACATTGGACAAAATTAAAAAGAATCTGAAAAAAATGTATCGACTAAGTTGCCATTTTATACATTTTATATTCTGTGACATTTCAGAATACTTGTATTCTTCAAATCACATTAGAATTACAGAACACTTAAAAAGCAAAATAAAAATTTTAGGTAATTTAGGTCAATGTGTTTGTTGTCATAGATCTGTTGGTATATTTTAAAATTTATGTTTGCTTTTATTAGCAAGTAATTGAAGGTTTTTGTAGGAAAACAAGCTTAGATAATACAGTTTAAAAAGAATGTGATTCACATTAGTTCCAGAATCAACAAATGCTGTTTTGCTGGCTCACTTTTTAAATGTCTATAAAAGTCTGCATTTGCTCCTTCACTTAAATAATTCATACTTGATTATAGGACTGAAAGGAATTTATAGCCTTTAAGTTTCAGATCTGATCAGAGCAATGTTTGCATTATCAGAGGACTTTGCTTTGATTGTCCTACTCTAACAAGCTCTCTGAAGGCCTATACCTGCACTTCCACAGTAATACAATGCATATTATAGAACTCTGACCAGTTTGGGAATCTTCAGGCATGACTTTGTTAGTTTCTGTTACTAGATTCTACAAAATGTCTGTTGAGGCAGGGCTTTGCCTAGGTGTTCTCAGACAGTAATGAGCTAGTCATGATCATGAAACAGAAAAAAGTCCAAAGAAGAAAAGTGAGCAAAAGGAAAGATAGGAAATGAGGTCAAAGAGGAGTCCAGGAAAAGATCATAGAATACTTTTTATAGATCACAGAAATGTTTTCATTTATTCTAATTGTGAGAGGAAGTAATTGTAGGGCTTTAAATGCGCATACTTTTATTATTTATTTTACATTTCGTGAACAGGAGATTCTCACTTTACTCCAAGAGAACATATTAATAGAGATGGAAATAACGTAGCCATTTTATAATGTATTTGGAGCTAGAATTGGTAAGACTTGTAGGTGAATTGGGTTACAAATAGGAATGACTTCTTGCTCTTTCGTTAGAGGATGTAGATAGATGATGGTACCATTAACTCTATGGGGAAGACTGATGGAGAATTATGTTGGGGGCGATGGTTAGTTGTGACTAATAGACACCAAATAGTCACAAATAGAATGGATATTCGTTGTTCTTTGAGATTCCTTTTAAAGTAAATCACAAAATCTAATGTGATTTGGTTTAACATAATGCTTTCTATTCCCAGCATTGCACATAATTATGTTATGACTTATTAAAGCAAAATTATGTTTCCTATGAAGCAGATAAAATTATTATCAACCTATTTTACTTTTGCAAAAGAACATTGTCTAAGTATTTTAAATAGAATACCCCCTTTATTGTTAAGATAATCCAATGAAGAAATTGGGTGACAAATGAGGGGATACCAATCTATAATAAACTAGGAAAAAAATATGCTATACCTTCTATAGAGCCATTTAATCTTATGGTCAGAACAGATTTTTCCAAGTCTTCTGAGCAATAATAGATAAATCTTTTTAATGTATGTATTTTATTTATATTTTATTTACAAAATATTGAAAGGTCTTGAGACTTTTTAGTGGACAGCATAGGATGAAACAGGGTACTCATAATAAAGCTTTGCTTTTTAATTTTTTTAATGTTTATTTTTGAGAGAGACACAGACAGAGCACAAGCAGAGGAGGGGCAGAGAGAGAGAGAGGGAGATACAGAATCTGAAGCTCAGACCCTGTCAGCACACAGCCTGATGCGGGGCTCCAGTTCCGAAAGGCGAGATCATGACCTGAGCTGAAGTTGGACGCTTAACCAAATGAGCCACCCAGGCATCCCTGAAAGCTTTTAAATTCCTTACACAATGTACTGTCATTGAGGCAATTCTCATCAGTCTTTATCATTTTACATCAAGACAGAGATACAAAAGGATTTGCCATGTGTGCAATTCTTCTTTCCTAAGTCTCTTGATGTATAAATATAGAACATTTAGAATGGCTTTTCTATATTCAAAATAATGACTTCCCAATGACTGTTTATTGGACAATCAGTCCAATTAAATATTTGCAGTGTGAGCTCAAAAATCATATGTAGACGCCCAATCATTGCTTCCAACAAAATGTCCCAAATAAAGCTCATTTTTTTTTAATTTTTTGTTAAAAAATTTTTAATGTTTATTTTTGAGAGAGAGATAGAAAGAGAGATAGAGTGCAAGTGGTAGAGGGGCAGAGAGATAGGGAGACACAGGCTGAAGCAGGGTCCAGGTTCTGACCTGTCAGCACAGAGCTGGACACGGGACTTGAACCCACAAACCACAGGATCATGACCTTAGCCAAAGTCAGACGCTTAACCAACTGAACCACCCAGATGCCCTTAAAGTTCATATTTTTTAAAATCAGAGATAAGATATTCTGTTACCTGTACTTTATGTTAATATTACCACATTTTCCTATTCAAGATGAAATTATGAGTAAAATTAGAGGGTTTTTTTTTTTTTTTTTTACAATTTTCTTGTCATATTTTGTAACATTTCACATTTGTCTTTTTCTGTCATATTTATTATTATAGAGTAATGACATTGAAATATAAATATGGAGGGGCGCCTGGGTGGCGCAGTCGGTTAAGCGTCCGACTTCAGCCAGGTCACGATCTCGCGGTCTATGAGTTCGAGCCCCGCGTCAGGCTCTGGGCTGATGGCTCAGAGCCTGGAGCCTGTTTCCGCTTCTTTGTCTCCCTCTCTCTCTGCCCCTCCCCCGTTCATGCTCTGTCTCTCTCTGTCCCAAAATTAAATTAAAAAAGTTGAAAAAAAAAATTAAAAAAAAAAAAGAAATATAAATATGGAATTACTATGTGGATTTTCTAGATGGTTATTTTGATTGTAGTATTGTTCCTCTTTAACTTAAACCTAATTCACAATACATGTCTTCTTCAAATGATTTCCTTAACAAATATATACTGAGCTCATCTATCTTTTAGGTACTATTCTGATTACTTAGACAGACAAAAATGTGTGCCTTTCGTTAATATAGGTGAAAAAGCTTTTTGCTGACTCTCTTCTGACACCTCTCCTCTGCCCCTTTTTTTCTCATACCTCTTCAACCTATGCATTAACTTTTCTAGTTTGGATATTTAGCTAATCAGGACTTAACATTATGTCAGAGTATTGGGAACTAAAAAGAAACATTAACGTTACAATGATTGCAAAAATAAACATAAGAAAAAGTATAGGGTAGAGAGAGATTAAAATAATGTGATGTGGTAAAAATAAGTGACATTGTTGGATAAATACAATTACCTAATTGTTAAGATAGAAAAAAAAATAGTTATCTAGTCCAGGGTAGATTTTCTTTGATAATGATCCTAATATTTTGCTTTTGGGACTTATTTTTATGTTTTGATTTGATGTACTCATATTTTAACACTGCAACTTAGTATTTTAAATTGTGGGACTTTCATTAGCTATTGCTCAAAAGTCCAAAATTATAATTCCTGGAAATTAAAACTTTTTTTTAATTTTTTTTAACGTTTATTTATTTTTGAGACAGAGAGAGACAGAGCATGAATGGGGGAGGGTCAGAGAGAGGGAGACACAGAATCTGAAACAGGCTCCAGGCTCTGAGTTGTCAGCACAGAGCCCGACACCGGGCTCGAACTCACGGACTGCGAGATCATGACCTGAGCCGAAGTCGGACACCCAACCAACTGAGCCACCCAGGTGCCCCATGGAAATTAAAACTTTTTAACAAACTTACAAATAAAATTCTGCAAGAACTATAAATATAGAAAATATTTTTGAATTTTCCTATTTGTTATCTCCCATAAAATCCTAAACAAAGGCACACTGTCATCTAAATGTTAATGTGTTTGTAGCTGAGTTAAGAGTTTGAGTGAAAAAGAATTCTGATCGAATCAATGTATATAAACTTTATTTATATCTATATAAATAAATATATTCATCTATATGAATTCATCTAATAAATTCATCTAATAAATTCATCTATATCCAACATTGTGCATGATTTTGAGTTAATCAAAAGACTACTTGATTTATTAGAGATATTTAGTCTAAAAGATAATCAGAGTGGCTGCTGAGGATCCCTCCTAAAAGTTTCAGGGAGTCTGGGCCTATGGACCACAGGAGCAAAGCTGGGCAGGGGGCACAAGATGGCCTTGGAGGGCATTCTCAGGGCTGCTACTGGTTTGAAGCCACCGGCCACCTGGGATGACGGTATTCTGGGCCCACTGGGCCTGCCCTGACTGCTGGCTCTGCGGGAGCCAGTCCACTGAGACCCCTGGCACAACATCAGCCACAAGCTGACCTACCTGGGTTTGGCGTGCTGCCTGTGCTTGGGCCACAGTTTCAGCAGCCTTGTGCTCAGCCCCATGGGTGGCCTGCATATGTCCCCCACAGATAGGCAGCTGGTGACACAGTCAGAGGTACCTGTCGTGGACTGCTCCTGTGCCAGGGTGGAGGAGATGCCATTTGGGAAGATTGTGGAGAGCCTACTGCAGCTGCTGCCCCAATAGGTGGCCGCCAGCCCTGTGAACTATGCCTGGCCCTGCAAACCGCTCCCCGTGGAAGATTTGTTGCCACCTTGTACACCTTTGGAACTTACTGTCATTTTGCTCCAGAAGTTTAAGAGGGGCAAGGACTTGCTGGACCTGAACCACCAGCTTCTGAACAAGTACATGGCCTGCAGCAGCCTCAAGTGGGTGCTCCAGGCAGAGAAGGAGTTCAAGAGCCCCAGGGGGAAGAAAATGTTCCCCTTTGATGTGAATTCAGAGCAGGAATTTGTAAAGTCCCAGAGGCCCATGAGCAGCACCTGACTGCCCATGGACTGTGACAAGAGTCATGAAGACTGAGTATCATGGGCTTGATGCCAAAGACCAAGGGCACTGCAACAGCCCAGAAGAGGAGAGAGGCAGGGAAAGGGGGCTGAGGCCAGTGCATCAACAGGAGTTTGGAAAAGAATTAAGAATTGACAAAGATAGTAAATGTACAGACATATTTTTGGGGGCTGGGTGTTGAGGAAATCTCAAAATGGTGGCAGGACCTGTGGGAACTCCTGACAGGCCTGGTGGTCTAGGCCCCTTCCGGCTGCCAGCAGAGCTGGACTCACGGCATTGTCTCTCAGTGCTTCTGATGCTCCTCACTCTGGCTCCTGCCTCGGATCCCTGACAGTGAAACAGGGCATCAAGGAGGAAAACCAAAAAAAAAAAAAAAAAAAGGATAACCAAAATGATTGGTTCTTTCCATTTCTACAGTGAATGTGCAAAAGCCTAGGAATGTGGGAGATCTCCACAGGTTCCCATTATTGAGTCAGAGTGTTGCTTCCTATTTTGTTACATGCTCAGGTGCTTTACATTATCTCAGGCATACTTTGTTGTTTTTAGGTTTTGCCACATGAAATTCCCTTTTCTAGGTAAAATAATGATCAAATATTGACCATATTATACAGTTCAATTTAGCATTTCGAATTCTTTGAGGAAAGTGTCTGTACTACATATTTACAAGGTTTCTTCACCCATTCTAAAAGCTCTGATTATTTTTGCCTGTGTAACACAAACATAGACAAGAAAACAGCATTAATTTGAGATTAAAAAAAAGTTTCAAGTATACAGTGTTCTCCTCATGAATTACTCTAATTAGTGTTAACTTACAAATATTTTCTGTCAATATGTGAATAGGAATCTATGGGAAATAGCTTTTTCTGATCTATGACACCAAAAGAAGATGCCATCATCCCTTAGAGAAAAATATTAAGAACAAAGTAAGATTTGAACTGAAAACATAGTGTGAAAACTGTTTTTATTTTCTGCTAACAAGAAACACACTTTATAGTATTAATTTGGCTTTAAAAACTGTTAATTGTGATTTTTAGCATCATGCAATTATTGGTATATTGTAAAATTATTGTTCTGATCCCTTTAGCAAATAATCATGGGGCATAGTTTAAGTCAGTGAGGAAAAGTGTGGAGTCCTCTCTTGAAATGAACACTGCCTAGATTCCATGATTATTCTACGTGCCGTCTAACCAGAATTGTAAATGAGGTTTTAAAGAGATGTACAGCTCTTTTTATTAGTGTCTTTGAATATTTCAATAACAGTGAGGTCAATTAAAATTTTATTGAATGATTACGTTTTATATTGACTCAGACACAAACAACTAAGTAATTTAAAATGGTAAAGTTAGAAAGAGAAAAGGAATTGCCCTTTTTATAACATGATATTATCTATTTATGCCTTAAATTAAAAAAAAAAATCCTTTCTTGGCTTTGAGAGTAATCAAAATTTAATATGATCATTCTATTACCTCGTTAGCCAGCATTACAAATCCTCTCTTCTACTTTATTGGTTTCTTTATTGTTTACTGATCATATACACTTATTCCACCTACTAAGTTGTTTGGTTTAGTTGTTTTTCCCTTGTGTCTCTGAGCCTCAAACCCCACCTCTTCTAGAATAATAAAATTCCTTTGTTTTTTATAACTATTTTAATTCTTATAGATAACCCAAGACGTAATTTTTCTATCCACTTCAGTTTCCTCTCAGAAGTCAGATTCCTTTGTCTTTGTCTCATTACTCTTTAGTGAAATGACAGTAATTCCTAGCTAGCCAAATCATATGGATACACTGTTATCAGTATGATAGAATGATCTCTGCATGTAACATTGACAGAGAATCTATGTATATCTTCTCTACAACTAAGCAAAAGCAGACATCTAAGTACTCCATAAATGTGTGAATTTCATTATTGTTTTTCTAAAGATGCTTCCTTCTAAATATATATTTTGATTTTATATCACTACTGTCCCCAGTATTCAGAATATAAAATATGGTGCATGAGTACATACACAGGAGTGTGCGTGTATGTCTGTGTGTGAGTGTGTGTGTGTATACTACATATATCACCTATGATAGGTGAGGAAAATTACAAAAACAATTTACTATTAGTGTCTAGCTAATATCAGTAAAGTGTATTTTTTATAATGTTGGTGGTGATATTCAAATTGTTTTTGCATTCTATCAACGTTGCCTTTGGTTTTTCCCTAATTCTTTTTTAAATGTATTTCCTTTATCTCAAAAAGAAACAGCATTAAGAAATAATTTTTATACCAAATTATTTTTAGTAATTATTTATCATAGAGCCTAACTCTGTGCTAGTGTTAAAATATTCATAAATATTCCTATTGTACTTAAGATTTTTGTAATTTGGAAAGTCACCTATCAGTTACATAGCACCGAGTATTTCTATGGGAAAAATAGAAATTTACAGTATTTACTGTCAATAAACTTTAATTGTGTCAGCAAGGGGCAGAAATGCAGAAAATTACAGACTTTTAAATGTGTGAATCGCTTGCAAGTTGGAAGGCCTAGCTAATTATTTATCTTAGATGGGTAGTGAACAATAAAACCAGGGACAATGATAATTGAGGTGACTTCATTTTGCCTCAAATCTCTTATCACATAAAAGGAGCAATCTGTTTTTAATCTAAAATTTGACATGAATAAACTTGTTTTATGAGTTTCTTGGTGCTTGCTAAAATGAAGAAAGCAGCAATTTCAGAGAGTTAGGTTTATAACAGTCTTTTGAAGACCCTGTAGCCAGAAATTAATCAGAATAATGTTGAACTATTAGAAAATAATTGGAGTAATTAAAAAGCACAAATCGAGTCAAATTACAAAGAGTGAAAGACAATATCTTCTTTTTTTCCTATGTCCAACATCATATAGTCATGGTATCCTTTCCTTATTATTCATGAAAGTTTATGACTTACAATAGAAATTGGCCAATGGCTTTTCTCACACAGACTTCCAGAATCAATATTGATTTTTGATAATTGATGAATATTTAGGATGAATGCCAAGAGACCTTTTATAAATCATGGTTATATTTTTGTGCAGTTATAGAAACTTACGAGAGAAGTTTAATAATTGCATCAACAACTTCATTTTGTTTCATTTTGTTCATTTTCATCATTTACATTGTAAGTTTGAAATGAATTACTAATTTGTGATTCATCTACATAAATAGGACAAGAAATATTAAAATTTTGAATTTCTTACACACTATCGCTATTTTTGCAAATTGCACATTGAAGTGAGTCTTACAGAATTGATCATTTCTAGGAATGTAACCTACTAATTGCACATGTCATTTGCATCATTATTACCTTCAGCTTTTACATTCCATGTGAGATTCACAATGAGCAATTCAATTCGCAAACTGAGTCACTACTTCCTATTTCTATCATAAAACCAAGAGACTATTCCCTAGAAAATCAGAATTAATTGTGTATTTTTTTTTTTTACAAAGGAAGACATAGCTTTATAACTTTAAAATGAATTTAAAATTCACTTTGGGAAGTTTTAATACTAAAGTTAATCATACATAGTATGTTTGTTTTTCTTTAAATAGACATTTACCTGGATAATATTATCATTTCAGCTTATAAAATAAATATATATATGAGACCATTAATGAAATCCATCCTAAAATATGGTGAATCCAAATATATTTATAATTTGACAACAGTTAAATAATGTATGTGAACCAGATGGGGAGATGATGATTGGACTATATCTTATAAATTACAGTCATTGTATATTTGTGAATTGTGCCTATCAAAAGACCTTGTCTAGAGCAAGAGATTTCAAGGGAATGAATGAGGAACAACGTAACAGCAATGGTTGTTCATTTACATTTCAGTGTTTGCTGAATAAGTGAACTTAAGTTTTAATTATTCAAGTTGAATTAGTTTTAGCACTACAATCTATGAGGGGGGGTGGAAGGCAGCATTATCATTGCATACATTGTCTCTTTGGACCACAAACATATCAGACTGTAATAGAAAGTATATTTCTACGTTCTATCTCAGAATTTTATTCTCATATGAAACTAAGTTTTTTTGTCATAGCCAACAAAAAGAATGCTAAGCAAGTTGCTTAGGGCTAGTAGGAAAACTGTCACTTTGAGAACAATGATGTTGTTAACCCTCCAAGCTCGGTTTTGGTTACTTGTTGTGTTCCTTATTTAAGTCAGTGGAGAATCTTGCTAAGTTACAAAACGATCTAAACTAAGTTCTATTAAGGACTTTTTTTTTTTCTTGATTAGTCTCTAAAATTTTGTTTTGACTTTTAATTTCATAAGTTCTGAATTGCACATTTAGGAAAGTGAACTTTTTTCAGTATATTTTTATATGCTAACAGCAGTGGAGAATCAAAACAGATAATCTTGGGTATGCAATTAGTTATGGTAGGAGAAGCGTAAGTGGTTACTACTCTGTTCCCTGAACTGGCTTATTGCTTTACATTGATGCTCGCATCACCAAGTCCTCTTAATTTCCCATTCCTCTGTCTGTTGGCCACTATATGGCTATATGTTCTGTCCCCTTTTCTCTGTCCTTTTCTTCCCCCTCACTTTCTCCTGCCTCCGCCTCAGCCTTATTCCCCGACTAACAATGCAGATGTGTTTAAACCTAATTGCAGTTACATCCAGAGGTGGGTTTATGTGTGTGTTACATTGAGAAACACATGCGTACCTTCAAATTACAGAAGTAAGTCCAGACACTTACATTGATCATGCCCTCCATGTAGCGCATTTTCTCAGATCCTAGAGGTACTCACCATTTTCCATAGAGAGATGACAGAGGATTTATTGTCGTGAGTTTCTAACCCATGTACTTTAATCCTACAGTAATAAATACATGTATTTCCCTATAGTGAAGAGTGCAGAATCTTCACATTCCTTCTCTTAGGTAATTATTTTACCCCTTGAGATACTTATTATGATATGTGAAACATTAAACTTTAATGTCATATTTACCTTTAGAATATACTTTACCCAAATGAAACGGTTAAAG